CTAGGGGAGGCTGGGTCCTGAGGATGTCCTTAAAGAAGCTAGGGGAGGCTGGGTCCTGAGGATGTCTCTCAGGAAGCTAGGGGAGGCTGGGTCCTCAGGATGTCTCTCAGGAAGCTAGGGAAGGCTGGGTCCTCAGGATGTCTCTCAGGAAGCTAGGGAAGGCTGGGTCCTGAGGATATCCTTAAAGAAGCTAGGGGAGGCTGGGTCCTGAGGATGTCTTTAGCACTTGCACTGCTTGTTATGTACAGTACATTAAGCCCTATATGGCTATGCAATAGTAATGTTTCTGTCACATACAGAAGAACAAATTGTGATACACTTGATATGATATTATTGAGTATGAACTTTAGAGTCAGAAAAAATGAGATGAACTCTTACCTCTGCCACTGATGAGGCAGGGCAATTATATACCCTACCTCAGTCTTTATTTGCTTATTCTATTTTTATAGTAAATGATAGTAAAACCTACTTTTCAGAGATGATTGTGAGATTTAAATGAACTATTCAATATATGATGATTAGATTTAAAATATTCAACTGAATTGGATTACAAATACACTATTTCCTCAAAGTTAAAAGAAACGTATTTCATAACTTTCATTCTCTATAAAAATCCTACAGTCATTGAACAAGGACGTGCAGATGACCTCCAAGATGAAGAATAAGATGGAAACTCCATTTCCTGGAGTTTTGAACATTCATAATTTACAGTAGAGTCAGGTATAAAGAGAGGATACTCATTGAGGTTATAGAACTTCTTTTCCCCTGAATATACTTCAAAATCATAAGATTTTGGTTCATCTGCTCTCTTTTAAGTCTGGAAAATTGTAGCCAACCAAGGGTCCTCTCATTTCACTGAACTATGGATTGAAAAAGATCCATCAGTGTCAGCTACCTATGATAGAAAAATGCTTCACCAGAAACACACTATTTTCAATCGATGCTGCAAAAATTTTTATAAGCAAAAATGCCCTTGCCAAAAATAGAAGCTTCAATACTTATACACTGGAATTTTTTTAAAAGAAAAACTGAAAATCAAGTATACAGAAAGAAGAACTTAAATTATATTAGGCTAGAAATTTTAACAAAGCACTAGCTTCTTTATAAAATCATTATAATACAAAACATCTCAATTTTCAGGACATTGACTTGGTTTTATGGTGTCATGAGATTAAATACGTACAAAGAAATTTATAACTATTATAGATTTCCCCTATTTCTTTAAATAAAGAAACTAAGTCAGAAATTTACAGGGTTGTCTTAAAAAATAACAACTACACAACACACACACACACACATTTATAAAGAGGTTAGGAACATCAACATTCAAGTGTTCCTATATTCTCCTTACTTCTCTCTATCAGTTTCCTAAGAAGACAGGTTATTATTTTTAAAAAATGGAATTAGGTTGTCTCCAAATTGTAACCCTTACACAACTTATTCCAACCTTGTAATAAAGATTTCAGAAAATATTGGCAACATTACAAATCCACATTACACTGAGAACTGAGAATGCAGGTGACACCAGTGAGACCACGAATAGCGGCCACATACAGGTAATTTCCATCAACCATAAAATTGATGGAGTTAGATTAAGAAATGCAATAAGGACTACCCACATACTACTTCATGAAATACAAGAGCTTTGTTTATTCAAAGAAAGCTAAAAGGACAAAACAAATTAAAGAAAGAAAATATCTCTATTGTTTACTGTTTTCACAGAATCAGAACAAGTGCGGCCAGTGCTTCATCTTGCTGTACTAATATGTTTAAGTAGCCAGAGTGTTATTTGTGTGCTTCATCCTCACCTCTCCATATTTATTCAGAGATGTCAGTGTCCAAATGACTAAAAAGGGTAGAAAACAGCACTTGCAGGGAGATGGGATGGGAGCAGGAGGGGGCGGCAGGGTGGCAACTTGACTACAGCCATGAACTTTCTCCACACAGGTATACTATCCAAGAGTAAGAATACAGAAAATTCTCTGTATTCAGAGAATACATTCAATACATAACTGTATTCAATACATAACTCTGACAAGTTATGCATTGTATTTTTTAAAAAACTTATGTATCTTGTACATGCAAACCTCTTATTTTAAAAGATTGAGTTTTTATAGATTTTTTCCTAGTTCTAGGAAAAGCGTAAAGTGGAAAAGAGAGACCTACAAGAAGAAAAAATTTACCACAGCAAGGGTGAAAGGGAATGTCAGTCTTAATACTCAGGGATGATAATAATTCTGAAAAGTGTATCTGGCAGGAACCAGAAGATATTTCTCAAGACCCTTAAGCATCTTTAATAAAGCTCAGGAATAAGAAACCACAATGAAAAGCCTTGATGCTGAGATGAAAGGTAGTATAGTAAGATAAAAAGAGATGGAAAGGAAATTAAAATTATGACAATATAATTAAAAAACAGAGTTGAGGAAGTCAGCTGCACAGGTAATACTTCAAAGGAGAAAAACTTGAGAAATGTTTCCATATAGAAAAAAATGGCAAACTTAGATATATTATCTGTGAAATAGCCTGAGAAACATAAAATCAAGAAAAACTGTAGTACTAAGAAAGAAAAAAGGAAGGAACAGAGGGAGGGAGGGAGGGGATGTAAAGTTATGACGGAAAATGGGGTCCAACTGAGGAAAAGCCTTTCCTATTCCAAGAAGTCTATCCATCAGAAATAGATGGGTTTTCCCACCATAACGTAAAAACAAAAACAAGAACAGAAAACAACTCTCAGCACAGAGAGGGAGGAGTTGGGAGCAGCCATGAACACGGAGCAGCTGATCAATGGGAGACCCTCACAAAGTAGACCAGAAGCACGGCCTCTGTGCAGCTTCACACAGGATGCAGGGGCCTTGCCTCCGCAGTCTCTGGTCAGTGAGACAGGACAGGGTGCCAGCTACCTCCTGGATACCAAGTCACAGAGATTTTCATGAAAATCCTGGACTAAAAATTACACAGGGAAAGGAGAAAGACTGGATTTGAACATTTCATTGTAACTCTAATAAACAGCATAGCAACATTAGAGATTTGGAAAGGAAGTTCAAAAAATGTGACCGTAGAATTCTACTACTACATAAAATGTATATTATACATATTAGGAGGTAAAATAAAAGTTAATAAACATTATAGCCAACCAAGAG